AGCTATACTCTCCAACGACTGTTGTGAAAACACACAAGTATGGGTATATTTATGGACAAAATAACTGTGCTAAAGACCGGCTTCAGAGCCGCGACACTAATGATCACATGGGACAATGGGCAGTCTGCTAAATACAGGTCGCTCCTGCACTCCGGCTTATTTTACAGTCCTTTCGTTCTGAAGCAATTGGAAAACGCTTTTCCCCAATAAGCAGAAGAAGAATACCTTTTGGCATGAAGGCTTTCCCATTTCCAATGGTTCGGCCTTGACTGCACTCACACAGCCCTTGTTATTGTAACCTCAGCCAGTACAGTCTCCATACCGTTAGGGGGAAAGGAAAATAAATGACTGGGCATGAGACGCTCTGAAAGGCAGCCGCGTGTAACACACTGCCCTGGGACACGAGCAGCGGATCTGGAAGAAATTAAACACTGTATCGATTTCCCCTCCCGCCTGTCAGGCTTTGAATTTGGCAACGGTATGGGAGAGACCTGGGCTTAGTTTATACTAGCAGCCATGGCAGCACAGCTTCTGTAACCCTGTCAGTGCTGCGGCAATAACAGCACAGCCACTGTAAACCTGTCAGTGCCGCAGCAATAACAACACAGCTACTGTAACCCTGTCAGTGCTGCAGCAATAGCAGCACAGCTACTGTAACCCTGTCAGTGCTGCAGCAATAGCAGCACAGCTACTGTAACCCTGTCAGTGCTGCAGCAATAGCAGCACAGCTACCGTAACCCTGTCAGTGTTGCGGCAATAGCAGCACAGCTACCGTAACCCTGTCAGTGCCGCAGCAATAACAGCACAGCAACAGTAAACCTGTCAGTGTTGCAGCAATAACAGCACAGCTACTGTAACCCTGTCAGTGCTGCAGCAATAACAGCACAGCTACTGTAACCCTGTCAGTGCTGCAGCAATAACAGCACAGCTACTGTAACCCTGTCAGTGCTGCAGCAATAACAGCACAGCTACTGCAACCCTGTCAGTACTGCAGCAATAACAGCACAGCTACTGTAACACTGTCAGTGCCACAGCAATAACAGCACAGCTATCGTAACCCTGTCAGTGCTGCAGCAATAATAGCACAGCTACTGCAACCCTGTCAGTGCCACAGCAATAACAGCACAGCCACTGCAACCCTGTCAGTGCTGCAGCAATAACAGCACAGCTACTGCAACCCTGTCAGTGCCGCAGCAATAACAGCACAGCTACCGTAACCCTGTCAGTGCTGCAGCAATGACAGCACAGCTACTGTAACCGTGTCAGTGCCGCAGCAATAACAGCACAGCAACAGTAAACCTGTCAGTGCTGCAGCAATGACAGCACAGCTACTGTAACCGTGTCAGTGCTACAGCAATAGCAGCACAGCTACCGTAACCCTGTCAGTGTTGCAGCAATAACAGCACAGCTATTGAAACCCTGTCAGTGCCGCAGCAATAACAGCACAGCAACAGTAAACCTGTCAGTGCTGCAGCAATGAAAGCACAGCTACTGTAACCCTGTCAGTGCTGCAGCAAAAATAGCACAGCTACTGTAACACTGTCAGTGCTGCAGCAATAACAGCACAGCTACAGTAACCCTGTCAGTGCTGCAGCAATGACAGCACAGCTACTGCAACCCTGTCAGTGCTGCAGCAATAACAGCACAGCTACCGTAACCCTGTCAGTGCCGCAGCAATAACAGCACAGCTACTGTAACCCTGTCAGTGCTGCAGCAATAACAGCACAGCTACTGCAACCCTGTCAGTGCTGCAGCAATAACAGCACAGCTACTGTAACCCTGTCAGTGCTGCAGCAATAACAGCACAGCAACAGTAAACCTGTCAGTGTTGCAGCAATAACAGCACAGCTACTGTAACCCTGTCAGTGTTGCAGCAATAACAGCACAGCTACTGTAACCCTGTCAGTGTTGCAGAAATAACAGCACAGCTACTGTAACCCTGTCAGTACTGCAGCAATAATAGCACAGCTAATGTAACACTGTCAGTGCCACAGCAATAACAGCACAGCTATCATAACCCTGTCAGTGCTGCAACAACAATAGCACAGCTACTGCAACCCTGTCAGTGCCACAGCAATAACAGCACAGCTACTGCAACCCTGTCAGTGCTGCAGCAATAACAGCACAGCTACTGCAACCCTGTCAGTGCCGCAGCAATAACAGCACAGCTACCGTAACCCTGTCAGTGCTGCAGCAATAGCAGCACAGCTACTGTAACCGTGTCAGTGCCGCAGCAATAACAGCACAGCTACAGTAACCCTGTCAGTGCTGCAGCAATAACAGCACAGCAACAGTAACCCTGTCAGTGCTGCAGCAATAATAGCATAGATACTTTAACACTGTCAGTGCCACAGCAATAATAGTACAGCCACTGTAACCCTGTCAGTGCTGCAGCAATGACAGCACAGCTACAGTAACCCTGTCAGTGCTGCAGCAATAACAGCACAGCTACCGTCACCGTGTCAGTGTTGCAGCAATAACAGCACAGCTACTGCAACCCTGTCAGTGCTGCAGCAATAACAGCACAGCTATTGTAACCCTGTCAGTGCCGCAGCAATAACAGCACAGCTATTGTAACCCTGTCAGTGCCACAGCAATAACAGCACAGCAACAGTAACCCTGTCAGTGCTGCAGCAATAATAGCGCAGCTACTTTAACACTGTCAGTGCCACAGCAATAATAGCACAGCCACTGTAACCCTGTCAGTGCCGCAGCAATAACAGCACAGCTACAGTAACCCTGTCAGTGCTGCAGCAATAGCAGCACAGCTACCGTAACCCTGTCAATGCTGCAGCAATAACAGCACAGCTATTGTAACCCTGTCAGTGCTGCATCAATAATAGCACAGCAACAGTAAACCTGTCAGTGCTGCAGCAATAACAGCACAGCAACCTTAACCTTGGCAGTTCTTCGAATAGCTGATTTGTGTCAGTGCAGCAGCTGGTGCACCAAAGGACAGGGGTGAGGGAGAGAGGGGTGCACCTGCTCGATGGACAGCTCCTTGCTGGCGTCTCCTGATATCTCACAGATCTTCTCCGTATGGAGGTGCAAACCCAGGTCCACAATCTTCTCCAGGGTGAAGTCTGAGCCAGATTGGTCAAAAGAGTGCTGGACCTCCTCTTTTATCTGCTCCCAATGCCTGGGAACAGGGGTTTGAAAGCATGTTAACAGTTTGTGCGAGATAAGGCTGACAGGGCACTGTAATATGCAGGGGGATGTAAAAATCATGGGATATACTGCTATAAGCACTGGCTTAGTGATGCTCACGGCATCCTGCATTAGGGAAGACTGGTTTAGATATGGATTAATTTAACTCTGCAGTGATCTGTACAGCTGTAGTTGCGAGAAACTGTTCTTCTGAGTGTCAGTTTGCCCTCGTCAGGGTGCTCAGACTTGTGGCCGCAATTCTCTTCTGCTGTCAAAGTTTTTTTGTTAGTTTGGCACGTCGTCGTAATTTTTGACAATGTTCCCATTGTCACCATAAATAATTTTGATGTTTTTATAACTGACACTCCTGAAATGCTGACACCAAAAAATTGGCCCCACTAGAACTCTGTTAGTATCCTCATCTCGCTTTGGAGACTTTCCAAGAAAAGTACTGCCGGTCAGACCTATTTAAAACAGACACATGCTTCTAATTGGTGTTCAGCTAAACATGAAGGACCTGTGTAGAAGTTTTTTGTCATTTTTATTCACATATGTCAGAGTTGAGGTCATTTTTAAGGCAACTTCTAATATTTTGTGCACCCACTGTTGCACATACTGTAAATCTAATGCATGATGGTACATAATGGATGAAGTTAGTTTATGTCAAATGTCACCAAAATGTCATCACATTTTCCAGTATATGCAATGACAGTAATTAGAAGTAATAATTTTTAGTAAAATGCCAAATGAAAAAGACATACAGGGAAGATTGGGGCCGATGCTCGATCAGAGAACCTCTTTCTTCCCTTCCATCTGAGAATGACGACAATTTAAAAATCCCGAATCTCTCCAGAATAACACAGCACAGGCCACAGGCTTTTCAAGAGGCCTGCTATTAGCGAGAGAGGGAGAGAGGGAGAAAAGGCGAGAGCCCATCTCCTTAAAGAGACAGCTATCAGTGCTCGCCTCGGTCCTCCCAGTGATGCAGGCCCAAAGCCATTTCAGTGCATTTCTGTAATCCATATCGGAGTGCTGCCCGGGCTTTTTAGGAACAAAATGGCTCTCGCGTGCGTCAGCAAACAAAAAACATTTGTGCTAAGAATGGAAAATTCGCCCCCTCAGCGCTGTTTATCCTGTTGTTCAAAAAGCCTCAGTCACGGCCCGCTGTCTGAACCCTCAATTTTGTCTGACAGGCTGCTCTTTCTCGTGGTTCGGTCTTTGTGTTTTCGCCCGACAGACGTAAAGTCAACATGCGCATGAGAAGGACTGACCAATGACTGTGGATGAACCGGAAGTTTCACAGTGAAGCGTCCTCGTTTGACTTGACATCTTCAGCTCATTTATCCTTAGGCAGGACAGGGGACTGAGGACACCTGGTGAGGTCACACTGAACCGAATTTACCGAGGGGGGGGAGGGGGTAAAATATCGAGGAGGGGAGGAGCTGGGGCCCGGCAGATTATGAGCCGAACGTTCCACATCATGAAAAATGCGTTTCGATAAATAAATAAATAAATACTGCAGAATAAGTGATGCTCTCTGAGATTGCGGCGGCGAAGACTTAGAGACTTCCTCGGAGCGGTGCGGGGTAAGAGGGGGGAGGGGAGCGCTGGGTGGCGGGACCGCACCGGCGAGTTTTATTGCTGAAGCCGCCGTTATTCGGCAAAGCTCCAAATTAATCTGCCGCGCCGAGCCTCTGGCGGCCCTAGGAGTCAAGGTTAGGCTTATAAATAGTGTTCCAGATTCTTCCACCAGCCGTTTCCGCTAATCCCCCGGTGTGTAGATGGGAGGCGGAGATGGGCCGTTGTTTGTGGGGGGCGGTGCAGGGCGGAGGGGTGAAGGAGTGGGAGGGACAGCCTGTAGCTGAGTGGCTAAGGTGTTTGGCTGCGAGCCAAAGGGTTGATGGTTCAAGCCCCAGTGTAGTCACAGTGTTGGACCCTTGACTATATTACCCACGATACCCCAGGGGTGAATGGCCCCAGCCCTGTCCAATCAAACGCAGGTGGCTTGGGATGATGCCACAGCTAAATACTTGGTAACGCAGCGTAATGGCGGCCGTACCTGTTCCTCATGGCTGGATTGCGCAGGTCAGAAATGAGGGGGATGATCGTCTTAAACTGCTCAATCTGCTTCTTTGAGGCGCCGATGACTTCCCAGTTCTTATCCTGTTAGAAACACAGCAAAATTTCATGAATTTTTATTATTTTAATCCTTTTTAGTCCTTTCAGAACCATGCTTTATTTAATTTTTCTCCCTGCATGCATTTTGGGCATGAATGATGCATGAAATTTGATGTTCAAATAAACTGTTTTGTTATAATTATTATCACTTTATAAAACATTTAAGCTGCACCTGAATGGGTTGTACTGTACTGCAATTTTTTTGTGGAGAATTTTCTTTAGAAAATGGATGCACGTTGGCTGGCGAAATACGCGTGCACCCGTGTTAAGAAATTAGGATAAATTATCACACAAGCTAAATGCTTCAATTTAGAGGCACATTCCCTGTCAGGATATTTCAGCCAATTGGGGTTGGGAGTGTGGGTGTGGCCAGCAGCAAGAGAAGTTGTGGTTGGCCGGCATAACTGACTGGGGGCGTGGCATGGGTGGGGCCAGCTGCAGCAGTAGAAGCAGTGATTGGCTAGTGCAGCTGATTGGGGGAGGGACTGGGTAGGATGGGCTTGCCTTGATTTCACGGCTGAGCTTATGCAACCTCTTCAACATCTGCTGGGCGGTGGTCTCCATGCTCTCCGTCTCCAGGGCGACCAGCTGGCCCAACTTCCACTCCTCCCAGTGCCCCTCCCACTCAAGCCTGATCTGCCACACCTGCTGCAGGAACTCCAGGTCCTGGGAGAGAGGGACACATGTTCTTCAAGCGTTTCCAGCCCTGTAGCAGATCTACCATCCTGTAGGTTCTCACGGTAACTCTAATCTGGCACAACTGACTCAACTAATTAACTGCTGCACGAGATCTCTAGCTGTACAATGAGGAGCACTTTGCAAGGGTTAGCATGACATAACATAGGGCATGCAAAAAAAAAAAAATGTACTGAGAAAGGTAGAAACCACAGCTGCAACCAACAATTATTTTCATTATTAATCTGCCGATTATTTCATGATTAATCGATTGTCTCGTTTAAGAAATGTCGAAAAATTCTGAGAAATTCTCATCACAATTTTCCAAAGTACAAACTGACATCTTAAAATTGCTTCCTTCGTCAAATCGACAGCCCAAAACCCAAAGACTCTATTTACTATCATAAATGACAAAAAAGTAACAAATCCTTAAATTTAAGAAGCTGGAACCAGGAAATGTTTGATATTTTTGCTTGAAAAATGACTGAAGCGATTAATTGACTATCAAAACAGTCAGCAAACATTTCTGTTTGACCGACTAATTGATTAATCGACTAATCTTCGCAGCTCTAGTACAAACAGAGGTAGAAAGAGGGATAAAAAGCAATAAAGTGATGGAGAAAGAGAGGGAGGAAAAAAGACAGATGCAGAAGAGAGAGCAAGACAAAGAGCAATCGAGAGAGGGAAAGAGAGAGAGGCCGAGAGGGATGCAGTTGGGCTTTACACCTCTGTTAGGGCTGATAAAGGTAGTGGGAGAGAATGTAGTACAGGTACTAAAGGCAGAGTTATCAGGGCTGTCAGTGGATAGCTGCGTCAGGGAAACACACAGCAGCAGTGCGCCAGGCCCGAGCCCCTCGCGGGAGTGCAGGTCTCACCTCCTCCATCTTGTGCACCTCCTTGGAGGACGGCTGCTCGATCTTGAAGATGGCGAGTCCGCGGCGGATCGTATTCTCTTCCTCCTTCTGGGTCTCCAGCTGAGAGCGCAGGGCCGTGATCTGACCCAGAGCCACAGAGGCGGTCACCGCACTGCTGAACGGGGCTGAGCACAGAGATATACACAATGAATGATGAACCTGAGTACACACAATTAAACACACAACCTGGGGGGAGCAGCCCGCATTTACATATACATTCCTACACATACACACACCCACTCGGGCGCACACACAAACACTCACTCATACATGCACACAGTCTCTCACTCATGCACAAACACACTCACTTGTACACATACCTGTGCGCACTATGCAATCACTTGAAAACACACACACACACACACTCACACAAACGTGCACGTACACGCGCATACATACTCGCTCATGGACATACTGTACATGCACACACAATAATTCATGCACATATAAGCACACAGACACATTGTTATACACATACAAGTACACACAATCACTCATGCACATACAAGCACATAATAAAGACACATACACATGCACTCAAAGGCACACAAACACACATACACACACAGAATGGGGGCAGCACATACACACATACAGTTTACTCATACACACACTCACTCATACACACGCAGTGAGTGGGCAGCTTGCACACACACTTGCGCACATGTGACTCATTACTTTCCATTCTGTGCTAAGTGCACAGTGCACTATGAAGATGTGAAAATGGTCAGAGAGCCAAAGGGCTTGCTCTTTAAGGCACATTCAGGAGCTGTACACACACCACCACACTGCTTTAAGCAGTGTTCTTCAAACGACGGCCGTTTCACATCAACACTGCTTTGGAAGGCAGAATTTTTGCTCCAAGGTAAACTAGTGTGGCTCAGCCAGACAAAGTTTGCTTGCTTGGTCCGCACCATTTCTTCCACCAGCCGCGGCAGCACTGGCTGATATAGGGCCCTATGATTTCCGCGATCACAGAATCGCGGACGGAATCGCGGAATTGGCCAATAAAAACGGAATCTATTGTTAAACGCGGAATTTCGCGGATATCAACATAATTTGACTGAAATGCTGTTCGTAAAGCCACGTTTCCACTGAACGCTAAACAAAATATTCCCGCGACCAGATTACATTCAAAGGCAATGAAAAGACGTGAATGCACGCGAAAATGTGAGAAGCCTTCGTAAAATTCACCTGTCCCAAGTGTTAGAGCAACACATTTCTTTGGTGCTACAGAAGATCTATGGGAAGAAGTTTTTCGTTGTTGTAGACGAGACCACTGTTGCTCGGGATTGCAGGGTCCTAAACATCGTCATTGGTCATCTTATGTTAATTGAATAACTAATATAACCGTTAAATAGCCTACATTATTTGTTTTCACAGTCTACTTAGTGAATTGTGCACATGCAAATTATTACGTAACATCATCCCCCAGTGGTGAAATAATAGCTGATGCATCTTTGTGTCAGTTTGTTCATGTTCAATCATTACCGTAGAACATTTTGTCCTAGTATGTAATACATAGTATTGGGATTACTGAACAAAAGTTTCTTAAAAATAAAAAAATAAATTAAATATAGGTGATGCATCGGAATCAGACAACTGTTGATCCGTGGGGGAAACTGAGTGTCCTTACTGCTGCTCTCATACATTCACATATATATATATATATATATATATATATACATACATATATATATATATATATATATATATATATACACACAGTAAGATTATAAATGATTAGAAAGGGGCAGTCAGAATAATGCATGTCAGTACAGCTGTTGTCTGCCTTTTTGACTGTAGCTTACACTTCGTTTTAAGGGAATTTTATTTTGTAGTATTATTTTAGGTTAAAAAAATTTCTTCATCAAAGTGCAATGTTATATTGCATTACTATGCAGTACTTGTTCTGACTTAAAGTACTGAGGAAAATTGAGCGTTGCATCAACTAATTTAAGTTATTTCTATTTAATTAGTGGACATTTTATTCATTAACATAAATAGCACGCTCTCTCTATGGTAAAATTGGTGTAATTGGTAAAAAACAGAATTCCAAAAAATTAAAACGGAAAAAACAGAAATTGGGAAAAAATAAAACGGAATTTGGAAAAAAAATAAAACGGATTTCATAGGGCCCTACTGATATTGTTTTTACCTTGTAAATCTATGTGTTTATGTGTGTGTATGTCATCAAGGCAAAACACGGTCCCGGAGACACCATATCTGGCAGGAACAACCACAGAAGCGGTGTTAAGTACTTTGCCAAGTGTTTGTCTGTCTGTCTGCAGTCACAGCAAGACTTAATCAGAAAACTTGACAATTGCGTGGTTGAGATCACAATGAAGGCTAGGGTTCAAAGATGGGCGTGGCCCGAGCAAGGGCACAGGATGTAAGGGGATAGGAAGAGCGGGTGCTGTGATCCAATCACAATACGAACTTTAGTTTTAAAAATGCCTGTTAATTCTTTAACATGCTCGATCACGAGTGTAAAGGGTGAAGTTCATACTACAATCCCCAGTTTTAACCAATCATTGATTGGTTCATCTCAACTTGTTCGCCAAGGTGAAGACTATCAGAGAAGGGGACGAACAGGCGAACACCGAGACAGAGCGGAAGCGTAAGAACATTACGCCATCACCTGTAAGCGAACTTCAGCCAACTGTTCAAATGAACTGTAAATTAGCCTAAAATTAGCGCTTCACTCTACTCAGTCTGGTGTTTACAGAAGCTGGCTCCAGAGCTCAACAAACAAGGGAAGCCAGGGAGGGGGGAGGGAGAAGGGGAGGGAAGAGGAGGAGAGAGGAGGACAGAAAGAGTGAGCTGTCGGAGGAGTGTGCTCTGTTGAAGAATAATTAGAGGCTGCGCCTCCTACTCAAACCACCGAGCAAGAGCTGCCCGCACCGAGCACCCTGCCCTCCAAACTCCCACAATCCTCTCTGTCGCACCGCATGCTTTGAATTATGGGATATTTTGATCTCAGGAACGCTGCCTCATCCGGACGGGATGCGCTTTTCCGTGCGTTTCGCTCGCTGCAGGCGGCCTTCGTGTCGTTCCTGTGGCGAATGAATAAAGGACCAGGCCTCCCACTCCGTGTCTTCAGTCGTGACGTACGTCTTTTCTTGAAGAAGTGTTGGCGTTTCATGATGAGTGCAGT